GTACTTTCCATTCATTCTGAAGGTGTAGAACATTAGTTTTGTCGAAACGAGCCGGGTTCAGCAACTCACAGCCTTCACTGCAATGAATTGTTCATACAATATTTAACGAAAGTATGTGGACACCTCAAGATTCGTCTTCGAGGGTATTTTAAAGAATTTTTAGTTTTGAAACCCTTACTAATCAGTTCCTCGTGTGTTATAGTTTGTGATGGTTTACTTGATAGGTAATTATATTTTACTAGAGCAAACTTTTCTATGTGACATAATTTGTCCCTATCAAGAAAAAGGGGAATCCAAGTATAGACTGGACTTTGGCGCTAATATCTTCACTGACCATTGTCGATTCTCGATTATTAAGTCATCATGCCTCTTCGTGGTGAAGTTCTCTTGAAAGGAAACAGTCGCCGATAAGGGCTTTTCACGATACTACACACTAACAGAGAGATTACTCGTTTACCCGCATGAGTCCCAAGATTTGTGCAAAATTTAGATCTTCAATGCTCCACGATTATAAGCGCCCTCGATCTTCTCTCGCTCGAGTTATTCTTTATGTGGAAGCCAAATTCATACTTAAATCAACATTTCGATTCTCAAAGTAACCTTTTCTCGTTTGGTCCGGTCAACTGGGCATCTAACACAAGCCATTTAACAAAAGCTCTTCCCCTGATCATCAGCCCAAACTTGCAAGAGGGGAATTCGAGCGTAACTGAATCTTGGAAAAATGCTCTTTTTTGGAAGTGACCAGACATTGAACTAGCGGCAACTCAAATATCTAGCGACACCTGGCGACATCTTATTTTGCTCAGGTCATCCTCACTGGTTAGAAAAGTTTAACCTCAATGACGAATGGATTTCGCTTCTGTTAGAGGGAACTCGCTGCGATCCGCTAGTGTATTCAAAGAGGATTGTTGAAAGAGGTTCATTAATGGCCTGAGGTGGCTTTCGGAGCTCCGCAAACCAAAGCGTAACCAATACTGCGGTAAATTAGCCTTGTCTAGCGTCCTACTCAGAAATGGCTTCAATATTACGGCGTAAATGTAATGGAATGGCCAGCTCGTTTCACTAACTGTAATTTCATCGAGAACTTTTGGGATTTTATGGAATCCGACGTGTATACCTCTGTAATCACTCTAAACAGCGTGAGCGAGATGGAGGCGGCGATATTGTCTGTTGAAAAAGAAATCAGTTGGACAACTATTACCAACTTTATCCAGAACATGCGAAGTAGAATAAGCTGTATCACCTGTCGTCCCTTTGATCATCGATCCCCTCGAGTGGGCGCCAGGAACGTATCCATCCGTCTCTATTGCGAGCCAGAGTAGCCCAGTGAATCGTCCTCGCTCAAAGAACACAGGGAAAGCATTCCTTTCCTTCAGAGCCATTCTCTTCGTTCAGTTTTCTGACCATGTTGTAATCTCAGAGCAAGATATACCCTTCCACCTAATGGGAAACTCTGGTGGAGTTGTACAGGGTGCCCCATGAATGTGGTAACAAAAGAACTGGGCTACAAAAACCGCAGTTCATATTGATACATGGTGAATTCATGTGGGTTATTTACTATGCATAGCATCTGCATAATGAACACACGGTCACCTTATATAATCGTCTGGTGTACTATTTGTAGCTCGAAGACGCTTAAGCTACTCATCGACGGTGACACGCAGAGTTTCTTGAGAAGCTCCAGTCCGAACTGTTTTTATCGATTTCCCAGGAGCAGCAACAGTGGTGCGTTTTGAAGAGGTATGTAGGGAGAAGCTTTTCTCTCCAGTATGGACTATATCTAGCGACCCATCACATTGTGGCCCGGAAAAATCGTAGGAGGATTGGAAGATGGGATGAGGTCGCGAACATTTCCTCTGCACCAGCCTTGATCTTTTCTCATTCGTGATCAAGTGGGCCGTAGTTTTTAAATCGTACCGCTGAGAAAATCCTTGACTCTCAGCTGCATGCTTCCAGAAAAATCCCTCTAAAAGTGAGTCGGATTAAATTTTGTACTTTTCTCGACCAAAATCTGCGATATTGCTGTGATGGTAGGGATTCTAGCTCCTCTTCTTCATGAAAGTGGGAAAATGGCTACGAGGGGCGATCTGACTCTTCTCAGCGGCTTCAGCACTCGCAGTGTAAAAAATATTTATGTTCTCGTATCTCAGCATCTCTTCCACGCTGAACACCTTTAGCCAGAAAAAGGTGTGTCAAAGTGCCTGCCGCACGCAAGTAGCGCGCGGTATTTAATCTTTTCTCCAACTTCTTCTCGTTAGGAAGCTTATAATGCTTTCGAATCCAATCTGGATACACTTGTATTTTTTTGGGGTGGACTCTTCTCATCGGAGTAGAACATACAAGCAAATCTGCAGTCATTTCTTTCGTGTTTCTGCAGGCCCGCAGCATAATGCAAGCAGTTTTATTCGGAAACAGAGTCGTATGTGAGAATGACGACCGTTTTGAGGTTTGTCGGTGACCTGTCTACGCATCGCGATTCAAGAGACTGTCAAGTGGTAAATACTGAAACAAGCAGCGATTTCGGGAAAGGGCTGTGAGTCGCGCAAAGACGGAACGGTTGGCGGATATCTGCGAGGCTATACCGTTTTTCGAAATCTGACGAATTGAAATCACCAAAGTAGATATGTGGGCTAAGATATATTCATGAGAGGAAGGTGCAGATTTGAAGAAACCTTTCAAATATGGAAAT